AATATGACAATAGAAATACATAAGTCTTTAGATACAAGTTGATTAGTGCAACAAAGACTAGGGATTAATTTCCAGAAGAATAGAATACAAAAGCATGGAGGCAATGTATCATGACAACAGGTCAACAACATACAGTACTGTGGACAGTTTAGCCTTTAATTCCCAATGAGGTTTTTCAAAGAAGACTGGTACAGAGTAAATAACTGCGAGTGTAAACAACATTTTGTGTGGGTCCAATGGGATGTAACATCTGAAAAGGTCAAGGAAACATCAAACAAACTGGACTGTGTTCTCTTGTGATTCAGAAAGAATGAGGGGCTGATGACACAGCTCAATAGCAAGCCATCCCATGCTGATTACATAACAAACTGCATACAAGTTCAGAGACAACAAGGTGCAGAGCTGGATGAACACAGCAGGCCAAGCAGCATCATAGGAGCAGGAAGGCTGACGTTTTGGGCCTAGACCCTTCATCTGAAAAAGTTCTGAGGAAGGGTTACCGGACCCAAAACGTTAACGCTGATTATTTCTTCTCAGATGCTGCCAGACCTGCTGAGCTTTTCCGGCTACTTCTGTTTTTGTTCCTGATTTACAGCATCCACAGTTCTTTCGGTTTTTATACAAATTTTGTGTTCCCTTTGAAGAATACACAAGGGCATGAGTTAAAATGTCAATTTCAACTCTACTGGAGTGGATGAGTGGGACTGAATGCTCTCTTGTGCACCATTCTGAGTTCAGGAATTTCAAACTGTGAAGGTCGCAGTCAAAGACTATCCCCTAATCGCCATTGCATTGCAGATAAAGGAACATGCACTATCACTTAAGTGCTGCATACTAATTTAAATAAAAGGAATCAGATCAAAGAAACTTCAATCAGATATAAAACTAAGAGTCTCAAAAATTGACTGTTCAACAACCGACATCAACACTGCAAGTAATCTCCACTGCAACAGCCACAATGTTCAACTGTTATGAGCGAATAACTAAGAGATTGATAGACTTTTACAGTACAGAAGGAGGCCATTTGACCCATTGTGTCTGTATTGGCTCCTGAAAGAGCTACTCAGCTAGTCCAGCCCTATCTCTGCAGCCCTCTGACTTCATCACTTTCAATTATATATCCAACTCTCTTTTGAAACTCCCTATGGAATTCACCTCCAACACTCTCCCAGGCAGTGCATTCTAATCCTAACAACTGTCTGAGTAAAGAAGTTTCTCCTCATCCGACTCTTCACTCTCATGCTGACAATCTTGAGACTGTGACCCCCTAACCACTGAGATACCAACTAGTGGAAATAGAATATCTTTCTTTACCCTTTAAAAATTGCTCATAATTTTGAATACCTCAATCAGGTCACTTGTTAATCTTCTCTGCTTTTAATCTTTCACTGTATTTAAACTCCTTCATTCCTGATATCATTATAGTAAATCTGCTTTGCACTGTCTCCAGGGCTTTAACATAATTCCTTACATAAGGTGCCCAGAATTGAACACAGTACTTTAAATGTGGTCTGACCAATAATTTGTAGAGTTGCAGCACCACTTCCTTGCTTTTATACTCTATGTCTCTATTTATAAACCCAAGGATCCTATAAGCCACCTTAACAACTGTTTCAACTTGTTCTGGCCACCTTCAGAGAATTATGAATGTGAACCCCTGAGTTCCCTCAGCTCCTGTACTCCCGTCATAGTTGTACCATTGAGCCTGTAACTTTTCTCCATGTTTCTTCTGCCAAAATATATTCCTGCTCATTTGCCTGCATTGAAATTAATTTGCCAGGTGTCTGTCTATTTGGTTGACTTGTCAACGTCCCTCTGAAATCACTCAGCATCATCCTCACAATACACTATTCTTCCAAACTTAGTATCATCTGCAAATTTAGAGATTTTTCCCTCTACACCCAATTCCAAATGTTTATATAAATCACAAGCATTAAGGATCCCTTGATTCCTGGGGGCACCACTTTCAACACATCTTCATTCTGAGAAATGCCCATCATCCCTCTGTTTACTATCTTTTGGCCAATTCATAATCCATGTTGCCAAGGACCTGTCAATCTCAAGCATTTCTAATTTTCTAACCAACTTGCCATGTGGCACCATAGTAGGTGCTTTCTAACAGTTCAAATATACAACATCCACAGCACTATCCCCATCCACTACCTGTGTCACCTTGTCAAAGCACTCAATTAAATTAGTCAGACATAACCCGCCCTTGATAAAGCAACGTTAACTATCTAGTATAACTTGTTTATCTCTAAGTGTATATTTGTCAATGTGTATCCGGTATTGTGACCTCCGTCAGTTGTCCCACTATTGGTGTGATGTCACGCTCACGCGTCTGTAGTTTCCTGGGTTATCCTTTGTCCCTTTCTTAAACAACGGTGACATATTTGCAATCCTCTAGTTCCCCGGGACTAATCATGTGTTCAGAGAATCCTGGAAAATTTCTGTCAATGACTCTGCAATTTGCGCCCTTACCTCTCTCAGCAATCGAGGATGCATCCCGTCTGGGCCTGATGACTTCTCCAACTGGATTGCTGCCAGCCTTTTAGCATCTCTTCTTTAACTATCAATAAACTGTTCAGTTGCGCAACACCCATTTTTTCAACCAGGCCATCATTACCATCTTCTAATCTGATAAAGACAGAAGCCAAATATACATTTTGTATCTTTGCCATATGTTTTGTTTCAGTGAGCAGCTTACCCTGCATAGGTAAGTGACCAAGGGACAGGTGAAATAAGAAGGCGAGCAATTCATCCCTCCTCACCCGGGAGCTTATCAGTTTGGGGTATCCTGTCTGGAATCATAACAAATTAGGGAACTTCACCTTGAGTCCGGAAATAACAAATGCCATTTATTCAAATCCGATACTTACTATATAAAGTCCAGATCACCATTGCAGGGGTGAACATTTTTTTTCAAAGATTGATCTTGAGAAATTAATGAGGATTACTTTTTGATTTACAGGGTTACTTTTTGGTTTTCAGGAGCTCCTTTTCAATTCCCACTAACTCCTTTATTAGTTGATGCAGTCACATAGTTACCTTCTGTGTTTGTGTTATGACTTGGGTTTTTTGGAATCCATTAAACTTGAAAATTAAAGCCACAACACACAGGAAGGCATTAATTTTCTGGACACCACAATGTTTAAATTGGCAGAAGACAACCGGCGTAAGTTACCAACAAAAGTTTTTGTTAAGAAATAATACACACACCTATACACAAAATGTCATCACTATAAACATGTTTTCCACAGCTAAATGATTGTATTTTTGGCTCTAATGCAGTTACTCTAAGTGATTCACAGAATGTGAGACACTTTGAGACATAAAAACACATAGATTAATTTCATAAGTATTTGCATTTGTTTAGTATTAAATTATCCAAATGACACTGTTTATCATAATGGCTTGCACTACACTTGTTGAAGGGTTTAACAGTTCTCCCTCTCATGCTTCTCAGTCCCTTTCTCCATCTCTTTTAATCTTCCTCACCATGTTTGCACTTTCCAGTCTCCTGTCCAGATCCTCGCTCCCTTATGCGGACCCTCTCCACTCTTAGCAGCTCCTCTTTACACTTTGCAGACTCACTGCTCCACAACTCCAAGCCTTTGGTCTCCTTTCCTCTCACCAGACAGCCCAGGTTCCGGCTTTACCAGTCTTGCTTTCTATTTCACTGTCCGGCCTCACTTCCTCTGCCCTAGGCAAGCCTTTACCTTCAGCCTAGTAACCTTGTTAAGTCACAATTCAGTTTGCCTCAATCATACTCCAAAGCAGTGCATAATAGATTCCAACCACTCGCTGGGTAAACTAAATTATATTTATTTTACTTTTTGTTCTTTTAGCCATTCACATAAAATCACTGTTGTGTGGTTGTCACCCTTCTGTTAATTGTGATAGCTTTCCTTAGCTTATCTGTCCAGACTGCTCATGATTTGAATCATCCCTATTAAATCTCCTCTGCGCCTTGTCTTCTCTAAGGAGAAGAGGTAACTCCACTTCTAAAATCTATCCATGGAACGGAAGTGCTGCATTCCTGAAATCACTCTCTCAAATATTTTCTGTAACCTCTCTAAAACCTTTTTATATTTCCCAATGTGTGAACTCCAGAATTGGATACGGTACTTCATTAATTAGTTCATATTAACCTTGGACTTTAAAATCTTATAGGGAAAAGGAAGTTAAGGTAGTGTACGCTCTATGGATGGAATTTTATCCCCATCACTTCTGCCCCATCTCAACTTCCATGGAAAGCAGGCACAGTGGGGGAGGTGTAAAACTGGGGTGACATGGCAACGGCTCCATGTCCAAGGCCTACCACCTCTGCTAGTACTTTACCAATGACTAGGGTTGCAAAGGCCATGTGATGAACTTTGCAGCATTGTAGATAGCTGAGGAGTAAAGGGATACCTACGACCTGGGCAACCTGCATCCAATAGAGGTGCTCCCCTAAACTTGTCTCCCTAATTTGGTCCTCTGTTTCCCTTTCCCAGTCCTACCAGCCTGGTCCTGACGAGAACCTCACTCACCTTCATGCCTGGTTCCTATGTGGGAGGGACTACCTACAATAGCTGTAGTCAATTGTCTTTCCTCTGGCATCACTAGGTCTAGAGAGCTGCTGGCCACACAATTGTATGGCTGCTGTCAACGGCTTGATTTAGGGCAGAGATTACACCTTGAGCCAATGAAATGCCCAACTGCTGTACAAAGTGGAGATAGGTTCACCTTTGACTTTTTGAGGATAGTGGGGGTCTGGGCAACAATGTCCATGTGAAATTTAAGCCTACAGTTTGTGGTTCTGGAAAATAATTAATTTGAGTACACAGCTGTTCAGTGGTTCTTGAGAGTACATGAAGATTAGTGGCACTGTTTTCTAAGCTCAGATGGAAGTAAAATATGTAAATAAATTGAAGGATTCATACTTTTAAAACTGTTTTAAGCTGTTTAATTTCAGAATATAAAATTAAGTTGATTATGTTCCCCTTCTGATTTCTTAGCAGAGAAAGTGTTCAGCCCAACGAAATCATTCAATTGAATTTCGAGATGGAAAATTTTACCAGCCAGTCAGTGACAAGACGTATTCAATGGCATGTTGACTACCGTGGGAAAGACCCTCCTCCAGATTTGGACAAAGTGGTAACAGAGTTGGCAGTGATCCAAAAAGACATCCGTGCTATTGTACCACTCTCCATGGTAAGTTTTTGCACAATGTTGAAAACTTATTGGTCAATGTCCAGTAACATAATCTGAGTGTTCCTTATATTGGAGAAGTTTATTCTAAATTTTTGAGGGTAGTAGTTTATCTAAGCATAATAAACAAAATAAAATGCAGAATTTTAGCTACAGATATGAGCATAATGAGTATTATCATAGATCTCCTATTCTCTTTCCCATTCTGGTGTCAAGACTGTTACCATGCATAGGTGTGGAGACATTAGTCTGGATTTTACACCTGTAAATTAGGAGAAACACCACTTCAGGATGCTAATTCCACCATTGTGAACTATACTTCTAATTTTGCAGGTTTTCTTGATTCCTCTCACTCTGTATTAACAGAAAGTAAAATAATGCAATGGGATTGTGACTATCCCAACACTATTAGTGCAAATGAAAGTCTTCTATTAAAATTACTTATAGGCAGAAAACTGAATTACCACCGCTAAAATTATCTGTGCTAACATTGCAATTCTTTAGCATGTTAACATTCAGCATAGCTAGTGGCTGAATTTTATTTTGAAGCTGTGCAATTTGAATCACAAGCAAAACAGTTTACCAACCCCAGCGGTTTAAGAAATGTTAAGGGTGGAATGTTGGCATTCTGCATGTCCCATCAGCATCTGTCTTTTACCTATTTTGAAATCCATATTTGATCATAGGTCATAATATAATGAACAGAACTTACTGTTAATTCTTCAATGATACAAGTATAAATTAACAAGACCAGAGTAAATGATGGTGGAGTGATGGATGGACCGAGCAGAAGCTCATTTACAACTAACTCATTAATTTATTTTTAGCAAATAGAGTTGGGTACGCAATAAGAAACAGTATTCTATTGTTTAAAGATATTGATTGATGTCTATGTATGTTCAACAATTAGATGATAAATAAAATAAATGTTTGTCATTCCTATGAGCCTGACAATTTTCAGTATACATATGTAGCACCCTTGATTTCAATGCTTCAAAACTGTCTTTTTGAACCTTCATGGTATTGTATTTTCATACCATTGTTAATCATACATACCTAAGCACTCTGTTTTTAGTTTGATTTTACAGCTCCAATGAGAATCCTTCAAATTCTTAAAAAGTATTTTTGCAGTTGCTATCTTCTGTTTATCTTCTCTTGTTTTATAACCTCCTGCTGTAATTATATTCTCCAAAGTAGTAGTTCTACATCCTTTATTTCTCGAGTATTCATTTCAAAGAACACATAATGGGAATTCTTTCTGTTTTATGCCTTCCAATGGCTTCGTGTTTAAATTTACTTTCAAATCATATTCCAAATGGATGAACTTTACCTTCACAATTATCTCTTGTAATCTCTATTTAGCAATTAGTAATGAATCACTGGAATCATGTACATTGTTATTTTCTGTTGATCATGAATCTAACTTTAATATCATCTGGATTGTCCTAATTCAATATGACTGTAAAGTGAAAAATAGGTAAATGTACCCTGATTAATGTTAACTGATTCGCAGTGACCCTTTTTAACGCAGGCATGTTACACAGTGAGATAAACAAGAGTCAAGGGAACGTCCAACATACCTTTATTGAACACCTTATGAAGGAGAAACAATATTTATCAGATTTTACTATTGTACTTTAATTAAACTGTATCAAACTGTTTACAGGAGACTTCAGTAAACAGTCTCAAATTTCTGAGAAAACAGTCTAAAATCTATACTAACTATCTACTTCTGACACACTCTTCAAAGGATTCGGTACATCCTATCCAAGGGATTACTGCTGTACTTGAACTACTTGTCTGAAAAGACAGGTAATACCCATTCAATAAGGCTTGGATATCCTATTCCTCAGTCTTTGAGGATTGTCTGATGTTTCAGGATCTACAGTCATCAATTTGGGCTTCCCCTCTTGACTAGGGCTTGCTCTGGTCTTTGGGCCATCTCACCAAGGTGGTTTTCTGGGTCTGGTCAGTCTGATGATGTTCCCCATGAGGTACGCAGCTGGACATGGGGCAACCTGAAGCATCAGCTCCCTCTGCTTTTGTATCTTCTTCAAAGATTCTGTGCTCTATGTCCAAAACTCCAATACTAGTATTAGGCTGAGGTAGGAAAATCCAATGAGGCAATGACTTTCCAGTTGGAGGTCACAAAATATGGTTTTAAAACTTCAACTATCAAGTGCTGTCCTTGTCACACTGTGTGTCTGGCCTCCTAATGAGCTGTGTGCTACCACGTCTGTGTGACATTCTTCTAATAGAGCAGGTTCACTGGAGGTGTACACAATGGTTCTTTCTGAAACCATGTTGCCATTCACACCTGGCCTGGCAGTTTCAGGCCTGTCTGGTTTCAATGGGAAGTTGATGGTCCGAAGCCTGGCTGCATGAAAACACTGTTGCAACTCTGCAGTTTGCAAATTGCAGAAGACAGCAAGTTTTAAACTTGGCTTCCACATGTCAAGATTTTAATACATGCTCATGAAAACATGTTATTTCTGGAACAAAGATTGCAAGAATTACAGATGCTGGAGTCAGAGACAACACAGTATGGAGCTGGAGGAACACAGCAGGCCAGACAGCATCAGAGGGGCAGGAAAGTTGACGTTTTGGGTAGGGACCCTTCTTTAGAAATGGGAAGGGGGAAGAGAGCTGAGAAATAAATAGAGAGGAGGGGTGGGGCTGGGGAGGGTAGGTGGGATGGTGATAGGTGAGTGCAGGTAGGGAGTGGTGGGAATTGGTCAGGGCCTCCTCCAGTGTCACAATGACACCATCCACAAACTGGAGGAGCAGCACCTCATAATCTGCCTCAGGAGCCTATAGCCCGATGGCCTAAACATAAAGTTCACCAGTTTTAAAATCTCCCGACTCCCAGCCTCATCCCATGTCCAACCCTCCCTCTCATCCCTGCCTCGTTGACCTGACACAACCTGTCCATCTTCTCTCCCACCTTTCCGCCCCACCCATCCCACTGACCAATCCACACCACTCCCTACCTGCACTCACCTATCACCATCCCACCTACTTTCCCCAGCCCCCCATTTCTGAAGATGGGTCCTGACCCGAAATGTCAACTTTCTTGCTTCTCTGATGCTGCCTGGCCTGCTGTGTTCCTCCAGCTCCATAACTTGTTGTCTCTTATTTCTGTAACAATTTATCTGATGGGTTACCTGACCACACAACCATATCATACAAAAATTAGGTGATAAATAATTCAGTCTTATTTCCCAATTCTTTTGATTTTTATCCATCATGTTAACACAGTACTGACTTTTACTGCTATATCATTTACATATTTCATTACTAATATGCAAGGATATCGGCATGAATGTTATTTTACTGACTATCCACATGACTGTTCTCTGAAACAAATCAAAATGAAATTAAATTCTATGAATACTGTTGTACATGAATACATGAATAGTTGAAAGTACATAAAATATGGATTTATACACAACAATACACAGCAGTGCCTTGATTTTTAGTTCTGATGAAAAGATTTATGATTAGTGAATGTGTGTCTTTTTCACTCAGCAGGCACAGGTTCCTGGTGCTGCTTTTCCTTGCTCTTCCCTGCTCAGGAGCAGAATATGCAGAACACTGGAAGTGCCTGAATTTGGTATGAATGAGTTGGTAGCATGAGTCAGCTGCAACTCCAATCCAGCTGCTTCTTTCTCCAATTTACCACCCACCATCGTAGCACCTTCCATGGGGAATAGAAACTGGAATGCAGCGGGAAGTGGAGCAAAATAGAAGCAAAGGCAAGCTAATTTGTCATGTCCTAATTTCCATCCATTTGTCAATTACTAATTCCGAATATATTGGCCCCAATATTGATAGAGATGGTTTGGATATGTTTGAGAAAACAGAACTTTGGACAGGAATGCCTGAAGTCTAGGGTGTTGATGGTAGTGTCGGGCCTTTGGTGGGTAATACAAGTTAAAGCATTTCTCCTCCACTAGGCCTACCAACTGTGCTGAAAAGAATCTCCTCCTTCTGCAGTTATCCTCGCCTCCATTGAGTGCCTGATTTTCCAAAACCTGAGAAACATAGCCAGACACAATGAAACATGAAGTGCAACTTAAATGTGTGCCTTGTAATAATACTCAATTTATCACCTCATCTCCTTGGAGCTGATTGGCTGTCTACTCCATATTTTGTCTGCATTAAACTTCAAACTGTTAGAGTTGGGATTCAATTTCATTGAATCATAAAATCCCTACAGTGTGCAGGCAGGCCATTCAGCCCATCAAGTCCACACCGAACCTTTGAAGAGCATCCCTCCAGGATCCATCCCCTACTCTAAACTTATGACCCTGCATTTTCCATGGCCAATCCACCTAACCTGCACAAGTTTAGACTGTGGGAGGAAACCGGAGCACCCGGAAGGAACCCACGCAGTCAGGGGGAGAATGTGCAAACTACAGGTAGTCACCAGAGGGTGGAATTAATTTTCTTATCCACATCTAACTATTCTATTGTTGACAACTACAATTCACTCAATTTTTTTACAATTCTGTGTCTTCTTGACAAATGTCTCTATGGTGTTACTACTTTTGTTCACCACCTGTTGTGTGGTTATTTTCAAATCTAGGAAATGATTTCAAACATGCCACTAGGCTAAAGGAACAATATACGTGCAGATTATTATGCCACTAATGTTGATCTAATTGTTATGGACCAAACTAAATCCCCTCAAAATATTCAGAAGATAACTTAGACCCTAACATTTTCTTATTTTAACGGTAAATGTAAGGTGCCTTATTCCAGATGCAATTCGATTGGTCAAACTGCTGGATTTAAAGCAAAACACACTTTATTCATCCACGATAGTTAAAATACAACAAAAGAAAGAAGAAATTGGAATAATTTAACTCTACTGAAAAACTTAACAGGGTCATAGATACAGTAACTATTACTAATCAACTTGTTCCAATACAGTAACATCCCATAAATACACCCTTGGCATAAGACAAATTCAGAAAACAGATTGTCTCACATGCAACTGC